GAAGTCGAAAACAAAAAAACATTTTTTAATTGCTTCAGATAAGACGCAGCACACATAACTTGCAGCAAACTTCAGCTCCCCACCAACCCCCCCCCCCCCCCCCCCCCCCTTTCCACGACAAGAAAAAAACAAACGAAAGTAAAAGAAAGGCAAGCGGCAATTTTACAATTCAGCGCACATTTTGATGAGCTTCATAATTTTTGCTGCTCATTGACGTTCCCACTCATATCACATTTGAAGCAAGTGAAGCCCCCAGCCCCAGCCCCAAATGTCGAATAGCCCCCTAAGACAGCCTAGACGACTAACCAGAACTCATTTACACATTCGAGCTATGGCGCAGCAGATAAGACGCTGAGAAATCGAGCTCAGGCTTGATAAAGGGCTGAAGCGAATACGAAACATCAAGGCTGAGCAGGCGGATAGATCAATGTGTGAAGAAAGCCACAGCGACTATGTGAAAGAGTCAAATGCAGATTTGGTGGGGGAGAGATGAGGAGATGTCATGCAAGATGAAAGTGAGAAAGGGATTGAGGGGAGGGCGAAGACTGTGAGACAGTGTAAAACCCGGAAAAAGACGGAAGGGAAACTACTTATCAACTACTTGAGGGATCATACCATATGCGCTTTTCAAAGATCTATATTAATGTAAGTCAAGTAATCAATCCAAAAACATAATAAAATATATTTTGCATGAGAGAAGGTGAGAGTGGAGTAGAAAAGAGAGAGAAATTGAAAGATACACCAAATTAAATCAGTTAAAATTTGGTTTGATAATATATCGATATGATAGTAACGGCTTCTGATATATCTCTTAGGGCAAGGTATTCTTAAATTTAAGTTAAGTTTAAGCGTCTCTAAAATCTCCTTTAGATTAGACAGCTTTCAGAAAGATCCCGCAGGAGGACTTGCATACTTTTGCATGGATTCAAAGAATTTTCCTACAGGCTTTGCACACAGCTTTTGCCATTTTCTAAGATCTTCATGTTTGACTATCATTATCCAAAAAAAATGCTTTCTCGTAGTAGACCTTGATTGAACTTTTCCTTCTGTTCATTTAACTAGCACTTTTATATTCAAGTCTATAGACCTTACATGGAACAGGTTAGAGCTAATCAACTAGTCATAAATAAATATCTAGTATTACTAGACTATCTAGTATTACTAGACCTAACTATATCTAGCTATCTTACATATGTACGTACCAAATCTATCATATAGATATTTTCATTTATTGTAATTTGTTTGCCAATTGTAGCGTATTCACAGCTCGACTATGCCGACATTTACATACAGAGCAGAGCACAACCTGCGTTTATTTTATGACATTTGACTTGGCTATCCGCTTCTGCTCCATACACTTCACATAAGTACGACTATGTCACACAATTATCAAACGCTCTATCTGTGCATCAGTGACTACCGCACAGTCATATACCCATTCTATTCCATTCCATGCCGCCTCCGCCTACGCCTCCGCCTCCACCTCCGACACCGCCTCCTCCCCGCCCAGCCACGCCCACTGCGCACACATAGACCATAGCAGTTGGCGTGTTTACACAATTATATGCATTTTACGCTACATAAACGAGATTAGTGCGTCGCTTACTTGTGCCTAACTTCTTTTGACACAATGCGACGGGCGCAGAGCGCAGGGCAGGACGCCAGCCCCATTAATGTGGCAGGCAACACCCACCTTCCACAGCACAGTACGGCCTAAACGAAAGTTGGCTCAGAGATACGGGCCAACAACTCTTTGGGCCTTGAATGTCTTGCTGTTGGCAGCGGATGGAGGCGCAGCGTCAATTGCTTTTGTTTTTTCTCTACTTTCCTTGAACTTTTTTTTTTTTTTTTTTTGCTTTCGACTCTGGCAGTGCTGAGGGGATGTGTGTGTGTGTATGCGTGACTCGTGCGTTTGCATTGTTAACAAGCGCGCACATCTTTTGTTACACAACAAAATTTATAGAGATGCGTCGTCGCTGTCGTCTGAAGTGCTTATATGGAACACACATATCTATATTTTTTATGACTTTTTGTTGATCTTGGCACAGCGAATGCGCGTACGTGTGCGAGAGTGAACGAAACAAAGCTACTTGTTTATGTTTTACAAGCCCTATCAGCGCTCCGACTTCATTGTTTGATTTTTTGGTAGTTCGCCCAAGAATTCCAGCAACATCATATACAACATGAGCTTATATCTTATAGCTGAGATTTATGGCTCGAGCTATGCTAGAAAATTTATTTTTATAGAGCAAAACATTAGAGGATACACATATATGTCATATGTGGGTGCCAACGTCTCTAATCGATGAGCTTCTTAATCTTGAAAAATCGGCGAAGGTAAAGAACTTGCCAAGTGGCCAAGCCAAGCAGACAACAAATGCTGAACACGCTGTAGAATAAGACACGACTGTTAGTCTTCTCATTGGTGTCACGCATTTCCTCCTCTCGTTTACGCATCAGCTCAAAGTCAAGAACAACCGAATCCGAAAGAACTTCTAAACGCTTTAGATCCGCCTCGATCGGCTTCAATTTGACTGCCTCCCCAAGGGTATCAGAGCGTTTGGCTTCAATGCCTTTTTTGGTAACTAGTGAGACTTCATGATTAGCTCCAGGTTGATTGGCGCCCCCTTTTGAAGTGAAACAGATCTCGTAAGTTTCATACACCTCGGCGGTGAAGCTGAACTTTCCTTTGGTAATCCGCTCCTTCTGGGACAATATATGACCCTTGCTGTCGCGTACAACGTAGTTGACGATCTGTCCGGGCACATCTGAGACTTCATATTCGCCCATTACCAATTGGTTCGCTTGCATATCCTCCTTAAGACATTTTCGTCCATTCGGTGTCAGATGGAACCTGATGCCATGCAGCTTCGGGACGCATCCCAGGATCATGAGTATAACAAAATATGATTTTAGCATTTTCGTGATTTGTAATATAATAAATTGAACAGAAAAATTTTACTAATGCTTCACAGATGAGTTTAGCATCAAATGAAAATATGTACGTATATACATATATAAGTAAGTATATGTCTGTATTGAGTTTAGTCTCATGGCAGACTATACTTTTACTTACTTAGTAAAATTAAATGTCAAACTTAGAAAATTAAATGCTTTGACTTTTCATAAAACTTCTACCGAGCGTATCCAAACTAATGTGTTTCTCACTAAGTTTCACTCACGCTCTCTATGTGTCTCTTTCATGCTTTCTGGCATGCTCTCTGCGCATTCCATGATATTTCTCTATGTCAATCTCCCTCTCTCTATCTTTTTCAGTCACCCTCTTATTGTCTCTTTGTCTCTTACTAGCACTTTCTCTCCTTCTCACATTTCTCTCTCTCTCTCTCTCTCTCTCTCTCTCTCTCTCCTTATCTCTTATTCTCGATATATATGTTTCCATCAAGCATTCGATCTCTCTATCGCTCTCTTTCCTTCTCTCTCTCTCTCTCTCTCTCTCTCTCTCTCTCTCTCTCTCT